CTCCCCCCCTCCCCCGGTTACATCGTAGATGGAAGTGTTTTTAATTCAACTACATTTCGACAAGCCGTCCGAAAAACGCAAGTAATGGCTTGCCAAAATTACGTTTTAATGCGCATTTTTCTGTGCATGCAACTAAAAGCATGGAACTAACGAAGTTCAGGGATTTTTCGTTCGGAAACTAAATAAGGAACATGTTCAAAGCCAATATCCAATTTTTTATCGTTTTTGAGAAGAAAAAATTGCGATTTTTATCTGACTCGCCCTAGTCTCCACTCGAAAAAGTGTCAGTTTTCGACTGATTTTTTTTTCAAGATAAATCAAAAACGAGAATGGTGACCCCCATTTTTTTATTTCAAATTTTTGATAAATGTGATGCTCGTCATTATATATCAAAATATGAAGGAAAGTTTATTGCATAGATTTTAAAATATTTTGTTGACATATGCAATTTTTGGAAGTTCGTAGAGGCGCACATACCTGCATTTTTCACTAATAGTTGAAGAATCATAGTCATCCAATGACTTTGATGGGTTTAATAGTATAGATTAGCTAGTAAACTTCGAGTTATGAGTACGTTTTGTTATATGAACTTACTTTTAACTATGAATAAAGGTTCTTTGATTAAAGCTTCCGGTTGCTACCACATTAAAGATTTCACTATGAAACCCATAAATTGACATATTTGGAGAGCATCTAGCAAAAAACAAAAAAAAACAAAATCAGAAGAAAAAAAAAACGAGAATGGTGACCCCATCGTTTTATTGCAGTTTTTAGATATCCATAATGTCCATACAAAGTTTTAGGACAAAGTTATTGGCAAGTCGTATAATTTCTTTCAAAACCGAGGTAGGAAAATGATACCGAAAAGTGTTGAGACTCGATCCAGGTTTTTGTTAGAAACTTACAGTCAATTCAAAAATCGTTGTCGTCGACCGGCTCAAGCAGTACGCGACTGGACCGAAAGGAATATGGGTAAAAATCACTGAAGCGGTTAAATATCAGTTCTGAATTAATTGTTCCCGCTAGTAATAAAGATAATAATGGTGAGAAACAATCCATCAAATGCATGTCTTTGGGTTTAGGGAAAGGAAAACAAAGTAGTTATGATTCAGTTCACAATTTTGAAAAATATGAAGGCATTAAAAAAAGTCTCATTCAACACTTCCCGCTCGCCTACGAAGGTTCGTGCTGTAAACAAGGCATAACTAGTCGGATAAAATTATGGAGTCAACTCGGCTTCAGTGATTGCTACCCAGAGTTCCTTTCGGTCCAGTCGCGTAGACTTGAGTTGGTCGACGACAACATTTTTTGAATTGACTGTATGCAAGACGCGCAGTAAGTCATGATTGAAGTTTATCAAAATCGACAATATGCAAAATCCCCAAACATTTTATCATACCAATGTCGATCTTGGGCTACCTGTGGTTTCGTAACGTGTTGTCTGTCACGTAAGTTGCGTGATATTTCTCGTGCTGAAAATAGATCACGTGTAAATCATCAGACTTCATTTGGAATCCAAGATGACGGTCGAAAGCAACGAAAAAAGTCCTCTGGTGAAAAGCGATTTTGAACCCGAACTAAAAGGATGTGGAGCGTCTGTATGCTGCGATCCTCGGAGAAGACTTCACAGATATTTAGTTCTGATTTTTATCTGTTTTTTGAGCTTCGGTAAGATGATAATTTAAGAAACGACTTTATATCCAGAGAGTACTTCGGTTTTTGATTGTTCAACTTCATGCTTTGAAACAGCAAAGATATTGTGTTTTTTTTAAATGAAATAAGGGAAATTTAGATTATATTAAATTTACTTTTGTTGCTGGTAAGCAGAAACTAAAGCTTTACTTTTTTCAATCAAAGAAGACTTCAAGCTTGTTGTTCGACAGTTGAAAATGGTCACTCCAAATAAGAATGAATTAAATTTCTTGCTTCTTTACATTTCATCTCTTAATTATTAAATATGCTTCCCTGCTAGCAGAGTCTCTCTTCTCTTTCTCTCCCTTCTTTTCTCTCTCAACCAAAACAAAAGGAAAATAGGCTCTGCTAGCAGGGAATAAATATGCATAATAGTCTTAGCTTACTCACAAGGTAATTTCTATCCATGACAATTCGTGTGTCTTTACAGCCAAAAGCACTAGTACTAATCCTAACTAAATTTCATAGCTAATACAGTTAAAGTTTGAGATATTTACTTTTTTGTTTAAAATGTTTTCTCTGTTTTGCTCTATTATCATCTTTTTTTTTTATATTGATCTATTTTTTTACCAATTTACACTCTTTTTGTAAAAAATGCACACCATGCTAATTGTGTAAGTGTATACTATGGACATCCAGTTGAAAAGCAAGTCTTGCGGCAGTAGACTGAAGAGATTTTTGTGTACCATGTTAGAATGAGAATGGTTTCACAATGGTTGGTGTAAGTGGCTATAATGCTTATCACAAAACTTCAGTTTGAATGAACCAACTTGGTGGATGTAGTCCAGCTAATCCTGGCAATAGTCCAAGTTTGCATTTAGTGAACTTATCATGAGGGTTTCTACTCAGTAATCTGCTTTCAAGTCCATTTTCTTTATTGAACACTATTTCAAATGTATGCTACGAATGTGACTCAAAAGTGATCTCATCATGTGGTACATAAATCTACCACTGCGAAACATGCATTCCATGCTCATTTTACCACTCTAGTGATTTTCATAGTAATTACCTAATAAAGGATAAATTCAATTTATCTTTCAGGTAGCTATTACTGCTATGATAATCCTGCAGCACTAGAAAAACAAATTAAAAATGTAAGTGTACTCAGATTTTCTAGAGACTATAGAAGGACTCTTGTAAATGAAGGGTACCAGAGGATGTTGATTGCAAAGCATGCTGGAATGGTTCTCACTTAACATGCCAGGAAGGACTTATTTAAAAAGGCAGTTGTGTAAAACAACTGGGTAAACATCATTTTGTGCAGGTTGTTCCTACGATGCGTAATGGTACGGTGGAACACAGAAAATACTCCCAAATTCTAGAACGCTGAATTTTTAAGAATATATGAATCAAGGAAAAAACGAGAAAACTATGCCTTTTTGGTATATCTTTCTTTCAATTGCCTGTGTTTTAGTTTAATCTTCAAAATTTGTTTGTATTCCTAAATGAGCAGAGGCAAGAGAAAATGAACTAAGAGAAGGAATTCCCCCTATATAGCCTTGTAACCATCATGTGCACAGTTTGATGTTATTTTTAAACCATTTGTTTTTCTGCACGTGCATTTACTGCGTGTGCTCTACACTGTTTGCTTACGTTTTTGGGGTTTTTCTGTTATTTCGACTCTGCCCTGAATATGAGTGTGCATGTTGAAAGCTTGGCAAATACAACAGGAAATTGAAGTAGTAATTTGTTCAACTTTCTGGAGTGTTTTTATATTTATTTTCCAAAGCTTTCGACCTACATCGTCATCATGAGGGCAGATTTGAACATTTGAACATAAGAAAAGCACAAGAAAAACCTTAGCAAACAGCGTAGAGCACGCGCGTGCTATGCACGTACAGAAAATTAACAATCAAAATCATTGGATGATATTTTTAGAATAGATTCTAAAAATAACATCAAAGTGTGCACATGATGGGGCACAGGGATTCCTTCTCTTAGTTCATATTTTCTTGGCAGAGGAAAAGGGTTTTGAGTTCTCACAGAGGATTTATGGAATAAGCAACGTGCATCAAAGCTCACAAAGCACTCTGCAAAATATTGAGTACTGCAAAAATGAAACGGGAAAATCAATGGACTATCGGAAAAAAATACTCATAGAATAAGAAAATTCCCATTCTTTCATTCAACAATGTATTGACAGCCTTTTATGTATGTATTTTTTCCAGAAAATACATGATTCAATTGCAGTACTTAATCTAGGTTAATCAAGAGCCACTGTACTCAATATGTTCCCCTTGATATCAATTATAATAACAAATTTGCATTATTTATACAGGACATGAAGGTGGAAACTAGAAAATATGTACTGCTTTACTCTCTTTACTCATATCCAAATGTTGTACTCTGTTTTGTTGGTGGATATCTTCTCGATAGAGTATTTGGTGTAAGGTGAGTATAGCTGATTATTGCCTAGGATTCCCAGTTACTCACACACAAGTTTTATCTTTGTTAGAGCCACAAGGGCCCATCAGAGGCAAACTTTCAAAGGCTACAGATATAAACGAACAATCACGAAAATTAATTCATGTCCACATATTTGACTGTTAGGCTAATGAATTCACATCTAAGAAATCAGTTGTCTAGACATTAATTTTGATGATTTTGATAGATGTGTTGATCATCACAGTGAATGAGCGATCTAAGCGAACGCTGTAAAGAAAGACTTGAAAAAATGATTTCAAGCTTCAACAGGAATGGAACCCATGACCTCCGTGATGGCGGTGCGATGCTCTACCAACTGAGCTATGAAGCCAATCCTGTTGGCGAGCGGTCATTTTTTAAAATTTTTTTTCATAGCTCAATTGGTAGAGCATCGCACCAGCATCGCGGAGGTCATGGGTTCCATTCCCGTTGAAGCTTGAAATCATTTTTTCAAGTCTTTCTTTACAGCGTTCGCTTAGATCGCTCATTTACTGTGATGATCAACGCATCTATCATTATTTCACCACAGTTCTACCCATTCAATATTCACATTTGATGATTTTCTCAAAAATGGCTCAATAACTTTTTTCTATTGATATCTTATAGCTTGTAAATAAAATTGATATGTCACAGGACTAAATTTTTCTTTAATTCATCTTTTGAGCCCTAGCCCAAAAGGTGATGGATTGTGTTATGGTCACCAAAACGTTCGGACATTGTTCTTGGATTCCCATACAATTTCACTGAATTTAAAGAGAAAATTCAGATCAATTTCTTTAGTTACTTTTCTAAACAACAGTAAGAAAAGCTTCAATCAAGCTAGGGAAATGATATTTTGCATGCATTGAGAGAGCTAACTAAATGAACCAAATGAATAATATTTGTTTAAGAAAAGTCAGTACATTTGCACAGAAATCCAAGAACTTGGTGACTGTAACACAATCCAACACATTTTATACCTTGTGATGGCTAGCACTCAAAGGGGGAAAACATAGGTAAACATAGTGCTATTGAGAGGACCAGCTTCTACCAGAAGAAATTTCCAAATGATTATAAATTATGAACAGTGTAATATACAGTATATATGTTTTGAACATTTTCACTATTGTGATTGCAGGCTGGGTACATTGATATTCAGTTCGTTGGTTATGATGGGACAGGTAATTCATTGCTCTATTACCTTTATAGCTATAATTTTCCAAACCAAATGCAAGGTCCATACTGTAAATTATGGACTGAGTTTTTCTATTGTTGCCTTATGCCCCAACCGCAAAGAACGTTGGCCATAGAAATAAAATAAAAATAAATCATTTTTATTTAAGTGTCTGGTCATTCTAGCGCTTTCGCACTAATTGGGACACTTTTCACTCACACGCACTAGCTAGCACTTTATTTAATATTCTATGCACACAATACTCAACTCACATGTTGATTTTTATGGAGGGAGGAAACCGGAGAACCTGGAGAAAACCCTCGTAGCATAGGAGAGAACAACACATCAAACAAACTCAATTCACATGTGGCGACCGCAGGGCTCGAACCAGCAACCCGACCCGTTGGACTCACAGCGGTGAAAGAGGACGCGTTAGCCGTGAATGCCACCCATGCTACCCATAGTGGAAAACGTTAGCACATAACTTAAAATTCAGTATTAAACCACAGATCTTGAGAGGGAATCAGCCAATTTGAGCATGCAAAAGAATTAAGCTGTATATTTATATTATATTCACACAGTTTATTGCTTTATAAGCAGCTGAGGGGAATGTGATGCTTTACCTGAAACTTCTCTCATTTTCTTCCAATCTCATGTTCTGTATGCTTAATAACTGTACTCATAGCTTAGAAATCAAGTTTTTTATTTCTTTTGTAGAATGCAAATTGCAATAACCTTTATTTTGGATAGGAATGACACAACTAAAAGTGTGCAAGCAAAGTGTGTAAATGCAAAAGCTTTAAACAGTTGTTTCATGAATTTTATTTCTAGCTGGTGTTTTCACTAGGAGCATATAGACATAGTTTTACAATCATGGAAGTTGGAAGATTTATCTTTGGGTATGTATGCTTACCGCATTTTTTGGTATATACTGTATATTAAATGTGCTTTAAGAATGTTGTGTTATTTTTGTTATTTAATATCCAACTTAGCAAATTAGCAAATTCTCAGCAAATCAGAATTATTTATGGATGCTCAACACAAACAAATTACACATTCACAATATTCAGCTAATTCAGCCCCAAAAATAGATGGATAATAAATAACATTTTTGACATTTTAGGATGCAGAAAGGGTGGACATTTGCTCCCTATCTTGACACGATACTGCAGACTTGAGAAAAAATATCAACCCATGATGCATCCTAGAATGTAAAAAACCCAAAATACAATTTGTTAGAAAATTATTTTTCTTCCATGAACATATATCTAAAAAATTTAGTAGCCAAGCACAACTAGTGAATCATCAGACAGTTTTTTTAGAAAAAACTAGAATCTATGTGTGTGTATGAGCAAATCAGCCAATAAGCAAGCCAAGAATTTATGAATATGACAACAACATAATGGGAACTACGATGTGCACGTACTAACAGAACAAAATAAACTGAGCAAGCAAAAGAGAACGTTCAAATAATGTAATGTTGAAATTAAACAACTTTCTTAATAGGTTGGTAGATTGCAAGCATGACTATTCCACTGTCTCTCTTAAATATAGCATTGCTATTTCTATTATTGAGGCAAGCCTCATTCCACTTCCTTTGATACCATCTTCTCTCAGTGGCCAAAATATTGAAATCTTCCCACACTTCATTGTGGTTTGTTGAATGGCAATGTTCTGTCAGGGCTTATAAATTTGACCTTATCTTATTGGATGTAGGTCTTGTGTTCCTGTTCTTGCGGAGAAAAATCTTCCTGTCTTGCCAAATTTATGTATACCAGGTCACACTTAACACAAGGGATTTCATATACCACACCCGTCTTCTCATCATCTGGGCCCGGTTGTTCAAAACCCGGATTAAACAAACCTTGGATTAGGCCTAAACCAAGTTTAAATTCTGTAATCGCGGTTAAGTTAATTTATGGTTTAAAAACCGTTGTTCAAAGCCCGATTAGCGGGGCGATTAGCTAAACTACGATTACGCGACTTAATCTACGATTAGCATCCCAAAATAAACTAGTGTTTATATTATTTTAAAGATGGTGGCAGCTTTACCTATTGAAGTGAAAACTAGAAACAAAGTAAACGTTGTAAAGAACATTCGTTTAAGAACACTTTAGGATGGTTACAAAAAGTTGTGATAACTTCTTGTGATAACAGTTCTTCTATTACAATATTCACCACAATAACCGAGGCAGGAGAACCCATGGCTGTTCTATGTATTTCGTGATAGAACTTGCCATTATATAGAGGTTCCATAGGCTGTAAAAAAAAATTCAACAATTGGCAATGTCAGAAGGATTCAGTTGTTTCCTATCTGCAAGGTTCCAATCAGTGATGAGTCTAGTTCTTGCAACATCTACAGCAACATTAGTAGGGACCTATGTGAAGAGCCAGAAAGACATCAAATGAGACAAGTTCTTCATCTTTTTTTTTTCTTCTTTATTTTTTTGCTAATGCCCTGATGGTGCACTAGTTGTGCGAAGCTTAGGTAATAAAATTTAATGACTATTCCGACGTACAACCACATTTTAAATAGAATTCCTGTTATCAAATTACCATTTACTATCTTCTGTATAATTTATGAGGAGTCCATCTAGATGAATTTCTAATTACTGAAATTTGCATTGTGTCTTTCAGTCTTGGAGGTGAAAATTTGGCAGTTGCACAAAATACTTACTCAGTTGCCTGGTTCAAAGGCAATGAGTTGAACATGGTGTTTGGTCTTCAATTGAGTTTCTCCCGTATAGTAAGTGAAAGAACTCTATAAAGTGGCACTTAGATGAAAACTTGATATGGCTGAAACTTTATTGGAATAATCTTTAAGGTCTAATAAACACTGGTTAAGGTGGCTCTATAAAGTTTTACGGCATGCCCTGTGTAAGCATGCACAATACTACAACTCCAAGAAATCGTCCGAAGTTTGATTGACAGCAGCCGAAACACAAGAAATACCTTTCAAGTACCAACTACACAGGTCGTGTAATTTTGAAAATAGGTGTAATGATTAATTAACTTTATAGCTGATGTTTGTTGCTATGGTTACATTTTATGTGATCAGTGAAAACTCATGAACTTTACAGTGCAACTACTTTAACTGGGGCCACTTAGACCAGTTAGCTAAGAGAACCAATTAAAATGTAGAATGAAAACAATGCATTGCAGCTTTGGGTAGTTGGTAAATTTGGCAATCCAGCAACCACCGACCCTTAAATCCAGGCCACTGTAACTCGACTTTTGCTAATTTTTCAATTTTCTTTTGACTAAAATATAATATACGTACAAAATATGGAAAGGAAGAATAAAAACAATCTCACTTTACCGCCAAGTTTGCTTCGTTCTTTCAAGCTCCAAAAATGCTTAGGGCTGGTCATTTTGCTCACTTATGCTTTGCGCGCTCAGCTGGCCTCAGAACAGCCAAGCATCAGAATATCAAGGAAAAACTTTAACAAGTGTTTGTTTATTAGATCCTTAAATGTCTTTCCAGTAAGCTGAATTACATAAAAAAAATTTTTCCAAGGGACACTTTTATGAAAATACTGATCACCTACGGTATAAATTGCAAGCGTATTCATCTGGCTTCAATTTATAACATTTGTTATTTTTGGGTTTAGTTGTTTTTTCCATTCTTTACCTTAAGACATCTTTCACTTTATAAAGATGAAGCAAACTCTGGAGCATAGATGTCAATTATGATTACACATGCCACATGATCTTATGTTTATTTCTCACTAAAACAAATTCCAATTGATTTAAAGTATTCTATTCTATTTTTTTCGAATATGCATTCGGTCCCTAAAGGATTGGAAAAAAACATCGGCTCTTTTTATGAGTCAATCAAAATATCAAAGCATGGTGAACTTGTAACATTCATTTGCATTTTCATTTTTTTTCTAGGGAAGTACTGTAAACATGAATGTCAACCATATAATTTATGATAAGTTCAGTAAGCTGTTCAGTATCGATCAGGCATATAAAGCATTGGGAGCAACTTTATTTGTTGGTAGGTATTGATAGCCATTTACTCTTAGCTGTATTACGCAGCTATTCCTTTAGACATAAAAGATTTTGAGTGGATAGGGGTTCTGGCAGGACCTGGAAAACAATATATTATAGAGGCGCGAGCGGAGCACCATACTTAAGAAAAATTGGTAACCCATCGAGTTGATTTTTGATGACCTGACTACTACGTCACTTCCGTTCGTACGTACGTCCGTGTACACGGCACAGGAATCCCGCTTGATGCCAAAGCAAAACTACTCACAAACCCGGCTCTCAAATGCACAGAAAAATTATCGCTTTGGGACAAATTTAATCCCAACAACGGAGAAAAAAGTATGTAGTCAAAAACTTATCTAGAAGTATTCTTCAAGAATTCAGGTACGGGTTTTTATAGCAAACAATTATTCGCATTTCTACTTTTCATGAAAAGCAGTTTTGTTCGACAAATTGGAAAATAAAATATTTTTTCTCAAAAGTTTTAATATTTCTAAAAAAGGTAATTTATTTTAATGCTGGATGAAATATAAAAATTAGTACATATTACAAAAAATATTCCCCTGTATTTAGCTTATAAATCGTTTATTTTTATTTAACCAGCTATCGTATGTTCAGTTTACGTACAAGGAAAAGCAGTTTTGGATAACCAAACATCATTATGTAAAAGACGTAAAGCTTTTTTAACCAGTTTTCAAGTCTGTCTTACGTACAAGGAAAAGCAGTTTTGTTCGCCTCCTATCGGCAAACCAAAGAAGACTTTCCTTTTGAATGAAATAAAAAAGGAAGAAATATTTGCATTGATAAATCTGTCTCAGTTGATTTTGTTAAGTTTAACTGAATGTAAATTTTATTTTTTACATGGAAGAAACATGCAAAAACCAGCTATCGTATGTTCAGTTTACGTACAAGGAAAAGCAGTTTTGGATAACCAAACATCATTATGTAAAAGACGTAAAGCTTTTTTAACCAGTTTTCAAGTCTGTCTTACGTACAAGGAAAAGCAGTTTTGTTCGCCTCCTATCGGCAAACCAAAGAAGACTTTCCTTTTGAATGAAATAAAAAAGGAAGAAATATTTGCATTGATAAATCTGTCTCAGTTGATTTTGTTAAGTTTAACTGAATGTAAATTTTATTTTTTACATGGAAGAAACATGCAAAAACCAGCTATCGTATGTTCAGTTTACGTACAAGGAAAAGCAGTTTTGGATAACCAAACATCATTATGTAAAAGACGTAAAGCTTTTTTAACCAGTTTTCAAGTCTGTCTTACGTACAAGGAAAAGCAGTTTTGTTCGCCTCCTATCGGCAAACCAAAGAAGACTTTCCTTTTGAATGAAATAAAAAAGGAAGAAATATTTGCATTGATAAATCTGTCTCAGTTGATTTTGTTAAGTTTAACTGAATGTAAATTTTATTTTTTACATGGAAGAAACATGCAATGTTTTAATGAATAATGATGAGAAGTAAGCACGCATTTGGTTTTGTCGTTCATGTTCTCGCAAATTTGAGTAGTTTAGTGAGTTAAACTTAATAATCTCCAGCTAATTTTCTCTCTGTTGCTACCAAAGCATTTATTTTCTTATTTTCATTGCGGTAAAAATACGTACGGTTCATATAAAAACATAAAACTCTTCATATGGATAACCAAACATCGTTATGTAAAAGACGTAAAAAGTAAGCTCAAGATTATGTTTTGCTAAGCTTTTTTAACCAGTTTTCAAGTCTGTCTTATGGTGTCGATTTGTCTTTAAAAAATTCGGAAATCTCCAAAATTTGGATTTTAATGATAGACTTCCAAGGTAAATTTCACTAAACTTGATATTTTATTGGATTATCTGTAGTTATTTTTTGTTTTTCAAGTGAAGTTGATATTGAAATTGAACCAGGAATTCAAAGCGTACAGTAAGAGTGTCGGCCATGGAAAACTTTGTCGAAGAATTTTTCATAAACCATACTAGCCGCTGGGGTGGCTGGTGGTGGGTTGTGTACATGTGATAAAATTCCTAAGTGGGAGAGTGGTAAGGTCGAAAACAAAAACTCGTCCAAAGGGAACGGTGTAGTGCATTTCATTTTGATTTTTTTACTTAATGGTTTTCATTTTGGGGGACATTATCTGCATCTCAAAGAAGAAGAAAAATTGAAAATTTTTTGCCCGATTTTATTTTCATCTTTCAGTTTTATCTAAGTTGGGTTGTGAGCTCCGCTTTTAGGCAGTGCCTATATTTATATATTAAGAGGATTTCAATTTTCAAATGTGAATACTTTTTAATAACACTAGGCAAATGTTACTTTGCCAGGTCTTCCCTGGGGGTTGGGCTGCCGTGGTTTCAATTGAGTGATGCATGATTTAGAAGCTATCTGTATACATCTAGCGTAATGCTATTAACAACCTGTTATTGATGTTGCTCAGGAGCTGGAGTTTGCCTTTTTTCATGGTTGTGTGGTGCTGCCATTGGATTGCTGGACAAACGAGCTGCAAAGATCCTGAAGAAGGAAGATTCTAAAACTGGTAAGCTTTCATTTTTTAATTTGCAGTGAAACTACTCTAACCAAGGCCACCCAATTTTTTTTCTACAACTAGCCAATCAAAAGTAAATCTGAACAATAGAATCGCTACAAATGCATGAGTTTGTGAAAACGGTGCATCACTCAAATCATATCAAAATATTTTACCATTCAAGTATTTACTTCACATAGAATCAAATATACTGAAAATCTTGAGTTAGAGGTAGGGTTCACTTTTTAAAAGGACCGTATTTTGTTTAAGAAATAATATCAAAGAGTTGTTTCTCAAGTTGACAATCAAAGCAGGTGTTTGATACTGAATATAAATGCCGACTTGGAATCTGTACTATTATTTGATCTTGCAGGGGAGGTCATCAGTTTACGAGATGTCAAGGACTTCCCAACAACTCTTTGGCTAATTTTCCTCATCTGTGTTGCATATTATGTTGCAATCTTTCCTTTTGTTGGCCTTGGCCTGTAAGTTTCTCAGCAGATTTATTGCTGAATTTTCTTTGGGTTCTCCTGTTTCTGTCCCTCCACAAAGCTCTTTAATTCTAAGCAGTAGTCAGGGGCGAATTAAAAATGTGTGAGGGGGTGCCCGATATAAAAAAAGGGATGTAGTCATCAATAATCCTGATCTTACTTTGTATTTGTTTGTTCTTGTAGTTATTTTAAGATTTAATCTTATCTAATTTAATCTTAAGTCGAACTAAAGATTCGAGGAAAAAAAGATAACTACAGTAAATAATGTACCAAAAAAACCTGGTGCATCTGGGGCGGACAGGACCCTGGATCTGCCACAAAATTGATTTTGTTTTGATTGGTACTCACATGGTGCATGTTTCTTTCTGTTTAGGGCATTGTTTGAAGAGAAATTTGATCTTGATCCAAGTAAAGCAGGAGCTGTAAATAGGTGACTATCCCATTCCTATATCAAGGTTTGGCCACAAAGTGCATTTGTTATGTGCGGCATTGCTGACAACGGTGTTTTTGGTGAATGTCATGCAGCATGTTTTTTTGTAATGAGCTGGTGAATATAAAACTCAATGCCCACACATAATCACGGTTTCATAATCACTTAGCACTTATCACTGTAAAATATTGCATTTCTTTTAATTTCTCTGTCATCGCTAATATTGACATTTCTCTTAAGAGTTTTAAAAGGAAACCCTCTATGGAGAAAATTAAGTAGAAATTATGCTTCAGAACATATCTATAGGAATTACGTTTTTCACTTTTTCAGTTTTTCATTAGGTCCTAAATTCAGATCAAGATCAATTAGACCGTTCTTGGCTTTGCTTGAGTGTCCACCCAAACAATGGGTGTTTTCCCAATGTAATACCGAATGTCCCATCAACAAACTCCAATTCATAAGAATTTTTAGCAGTTATCGAAATTATTTTTTCTCGGCTGCGATTTTCCATCATCCTACGAACTCCGACATTTGAATGGCTTATTGTGAAATTGGCTTATCACTGCCGCCAGTCAAGAACTTAAAAGGTATCGACTGATTAGGTTTGATTGATGGCAGCGAAAAACCAAAATTGGAAAATGGCATATTGCCCCCTATTATCAAGACCTCGCAACGCCACAGCCTACCAGGACATCCATTATGATGTTATACTGTTCCACTTTTTATCCTTTGTATCGTTGTTTCAACTCCCATCGAAGTGGACCATACTTCATGCAGCACCCTCTTTTCCTGCTGCTGCTTACGATTGTCAATCCACGGAAAGCTTATCTTTAGAGTGACCAGTGACTTAGACTTGTGATCAATTATCCAGGCAGCGATCCGATTTGCCTTCACTTGATCGTTATGCTCGACAAATACTGGTATGTCCCGAAACGCCTGTGCTTCACTCTTTCCACATACGGACTTCAGCATCACTGGAGAGGACTTCATCCACTAGCTTAATTTTTCGTAACATCTCAAAGAACAAAACCGCGAGAGCCGAGTCATGTCGTGACAAAATACTTATTTTGCGCCAACACCGAACAACCAATCAATATTTGGGCAACATTTCCTAAACAAGCTACAGAGCACATCACTTGTTGAGGTAGTCTCTATCTTCTGTCTACTAATATACAGCTTAGTTGGAAACAATTGCTCACATAGTTCATACATGCATGCACGGTGTGCGACGGACAAGTAATTTTACTCATTCAGCAATGCAAAGCCGCACCCTTTACTGCAAAGATCTCCAAAGGAAATCTGTGTACATTCATAATTTCTACTAACCATTCAGGCTATGCTGATATTCCGCTTGCCTCCGACTGTCCTGTGTGACGGCGCTGTCAATTACAAGATTGTCCATTGTCCTACTGCAGCTAGGTTTGCCTCCTCTCTGCTGGACTTCCATGACTTTTGCTTTTTTCCAGGTGCAGGTCCATGGGCATGAGAAAGAAGGACGTAAACCATTTATAGATAGTATGATTCAGACTTGTAATCTGCCGTTCGTTTCTGCTTGAGAATTCTCCAGGTTTAGGAATAAGTCATGTATTGACTTCTAAGATCCATAAGGGGTACTCTTCGCTACTCTTAGGGATTAGCTGAAAAGCAGTAGTCACACCATCATGAACTTTCAATGTGCTTTTTTCCAATTGCAGTTGGCTATCTTATTTAGGTGCCATTCTTTCTCTGCTCGAGGCGGCACGCGGCTACATATCAATGAATTCACCTTTTGCAAGCAATTTGCATCTTTATTTACAGTTCATATAGCTCTCTCAAGTCCAATAACCATAACAACGGTATAATTGCCCAGACGGGTCCAGGCTCCAAAATCCACCTCTTTAGTCATAGAGTAGACTTCATTTCCTTACTGCCGGTTATTTCAAAGATTATGTAGAAAGTTGTAAATTTTCAACTGCAATGGTATCTGCAGAAGTTAAATCTTCTGAGCCCAGTTCAGTCAGGGTTCAGACAACACCATGCAACTGAAAGTGCAGTGATTTATTTGACCAATGAAATCAGAAGAAATACAGATGCAGGAAGGTTAACTGGTGCCTTGTTTATAGATCTGAAGAAGGCCTTTGATACGGTGCCCCATAAAGAGCTTATCTCCAAATTAAAGAGATTTGGCTTTGTGGAAAATTCTATTATTTGGTTTCCAAGCTACCTGTCTAACAGGTCTCAAGTCGTTTCATTACGAAAAAAACTATCAATTCCCTTGGCAATGGAAAATGGAGTGCCACAAGATAGTATACTAGAAACAGTCTCGTTTACATGGTATATCAACGTTTCTAAAGTTATTATGTATGCAGGTGATACGGTTATATTCTTATCCACTGCACAAATCTTGGAAATAGAGATAAAGTTGACCATTAATCTCAATAACTTGTCTGAGTGGCTTTCTGGTAACAAATTGTCAGTATGTCGCCAAAACAGGGATTGATATAACCTTGGGAGGAGAATCTGTGAAGCATTGTGACACCTTTAAACATCTATAGGTCTACAAGTTTTGGACAGCAGTCTTTAACCAGCATATTGAGTATGTTAAGAAGAAAGTTTCTAAAACATTAGGGATTTTTTCAAGAGTACGATCGTCATTGACAACTGAAGCATCAATGATTCTATCAATTCTGGAGTACTGTTGTGCTGTTTACCAGGGATGTGGTAAAGGGAATGAAAAAGAACTGGAACGCCTGTAAAGAAGTGGTGGTAGAATAATGATTGAATACAATTCCAGTACTAGTCTTCAAATTTTTTAGTTTTTTATATTTTAATCTTTTTTTTTTAAATCTACCCATATTGATAGCTGTTTTTATAACTGAAATGGCCATCCTGTCA